TTTATGTAAAAAGGCTCTGATATTCTGGTATGAATGCTACAGATATTTTCCGGCTCTTCACTTCCCTTTTGACTTTGCTTTGGGAGGCTTAAAGCTCTTTTTATTAGTTTTTTTTTTTTTTTTAATTTACATAGATGTATCTAAAAAACTTAAGATTTATTCCTTTCCCATACAATTTTAAGTTCTGGGGTAATGAGTATTAACTGAAAGTATATTCATGTTTTGAAAAATATATCAATGTTCTCTATTTTGTACTATTTTTTCACTTAGTCTTAGATAACATCCTTAGAGAAGCTTTCCACAATTACATAAATTATATAAATATTATTAATAATATCCCCAGTTCACCTTTTAAAACTGATGAAATTAACTGCTGAGTATCAGCCACTATTCTAAGTTCGACTCTCACAATAAACTGATGAAAGAGGCACTATTCTTACCTAAATTTTATAGAGAAACGGACGTAAAGATGTTAAGTGATTTATCCAAGGTAACTAGGATGCAAGCCCAGGAAGCCTTATTCTGATCCAACCTATACTAATCTGTTAAAAATTAAAAATGAAAATACATTTTAGAAGACTTTTTTTTTTTCAAAAAAATTGTTTTATCATTATCTATTTTTTAAAATGGCCAGAGAGAGAGAAAGGAAAAGTAAGAAAGTCTCCAGGTCTGGACTCAAACTGTGATCCAAGTGGGAGTCCAATCACCATGCCCCTGCTGGCCCCACTAAGACTTAGGAAAAAAAAAAAAAACCTTATTTAATTTTATTATTTTTCTAATTTACTATAGGGCACGTGTGCTTGCCAGAAAGAAATAGAGGGAAAGCGAGAAAGCAAGTCACCATGCCTTATTAGTCATTTGGATTATCTCACTTGAAAAGGGCCTGTTTTTCTACAGAGCTCTGATTTTGCTTTTTAACTTTTTAGTTCCTTTCGAATTCTAGATGAGTTGTGTCAGTTCCACGTACTGAACATCTACTCTGAATTTCATTCTCTTATTGATGTCTTGTCATGATCAGATGTTCTTAATTTTTTTTTTTTTTTGTAGAGGGTTTTGCTATAGGGGGCATGGGGTCGCCAAGAGACAAGACAGAGAGACAGAAAGGGAGAAATCAACCCCCGGGGGGGGATGGCCACGCCGCAATCCCTTCTCCTCCATTCTCCTCTCAGGGTCTTGGGCATGCACGCACACGCGCCTGGCGTGAGTTTAAGACACCAGGTCTGGGACTCGAACCGCGGTTGACTACATGGGAGTCCAGCAACATAGCTATTATGCTAATTGCTGGTCCCTAGATGTTCTTAATTTTAATACAGATTTATCAGCTCTTCCTTCTACAATTTAACGTTTGCTAAGATGTTTAATCCAGGGCCAGCCTGGTAGCACAGTGGTTAAGGCAGCTTGATCCCGCACAGTCATCCGCAGTTCAGTTCCCAGCCTTGATCCCGCACGGTAGGCCACAGTTCAAGTCCCAGCCTTGATCCCACACGGTCGTCCGCAGTTCAGGTCCCAGCCTTGATCTTGCACTGTCGGCCGCAGTTCGCAGTTCAAGTCCCAGCCTTGATCCCGCATGGTCGTCCGCAGTTCAGGTCCCAGCCTTGATCCCGCATGGCCCACCGCAGTTCAAGTCCAGCCTTAGTGCTGGCTACCCGTGTGTGTGCACCGAGAGTTCTGACAAGGAGGGATAAATGAAAACTAACCCTGGCCTGACCACATCCACCGGGGAGTGCTTTCTCTTTCCTTGGGGGCCACATGTGCCCTCAGATGATTCATAAATAAATAACCGAATTGTGATTTAAAAATAAAATGTTTAATCCATCTTGTCTAGTACCCAACAAATTACGATCCTCTCCTACATAATCGAGTAAAATCTTAAATGTTACCTTTCATTTTAGGTCCATTTTTCTCCTTGAAGTTCATTTTTATATGAAGACATTTCTCTCTCGTAATCATTTGTCTCAGCACTCTTTAATGAATAGGCTATCTTTACCCCGCTATTTTACAACGCCGGTTTTGTCTGTTTGGGGTTTTCGATCACAATCAATTAGTTCATTTGTGTTCAGCACACCAAGACTTGCACTACACCTCACTGTTTCTGTGATGCAAATACTAGAATAAACCCTGTTGCTGATAAAGCAGTCCTTCCTTCTTCAACCCTGTTATCCATTTTTTCCCCCCGAATTTACTATCGAGTGTGTGTGCGCGCACGCATGCGTGTGTGTGTGTGTATGTGGGGGGGAGCGAGCCCATTCTCCAGGGAGGGATGGCCATGCCACAACCCCTTCTCCTCCATCTCCCTTTCGAGGTTTTTGGGGAAACATGTACATGCACCCAGCACTCAAACCGCATAGTCAGCCCCGTGGTATCCAGCCGCCTTCACCATCAACACCGGCGGGCCCTGTACTTTCTTAAAAAGACTGCCTTTTATGCCCTTCACCATTTCTGATGGTCCAGTCCAGTTTTTGTTTTAGAGTCTTTCTGGATTATACATTCAAGACCCACAACTTGCCATGGCTCCAAGGTATCACTCTCTTACACCGGCAACAGGTGAGACAGGGCTCAACTATCCAGCACTTTACGGCAGACACAAGGACCTTAAATCTCTCCAGCTGGCTTCCGGTCAGTCTATATGCACCGCTCTGGCTTTGATTCACACACCCAAGATATTCATACTGTTCTTTTCATCTCGGTTACATTTTAAAATGATCTTTAGTGGTTCTACTTTATAAAGAAGTGTTTGAGATTCTGTTAGACGCACATCCACTCTGAATGTAGCAGCTTAGTCAGTCATGTTGCCGAAAGTCCTCAGAAGGTTTTACTGAGAAGAGTGGCCAAGGTTCATTAAATGACCTTTGGAGCCAATCGATCCTTTAAATTACCACTGGAAGTCATACTAAGAAACTTTTTGATATTGAACCACCCTTGCAGTATCGCATAAATGCTATTTCAGATACTAAAATATTTCAAATACTAAAAGCCTTAAAGCAGTTAAGACTCTTAAAATTAAAAAAAGCCCACATCTATGATTTTCCTCAATAGAGTAGAATGGCTGATTTTGTCTAATATCCACGCGCGATACAGCATTTTAACAAATGAAGAACACATGAGAACTGTCTTCATCTAACTGGGATATGCCAAAAACCTAGAGTAGATAGTCAGTGATAAAAACCAGAAGCATTCCCTCTAAAGTTAAATTACCTACCTGCTAGATTTTATAAGGACACATCTAATATCTTTCCAACGTTATGCCTTATTTCATGTCTCTGGAATCCCACTCTTTCAGGGAGAAATCACAACTGTACACTGAACAAAATGATAAACGGGGACATGAACATAAACACAACACTTGACATAAAATGTAACAGGAGTCACTACCTCCTCTGCATGAAGTAGGCTCTAGGTTAAAAGTTCCTACCCTACAGATAGCCAGTACTTAAAACGCTCAAAATGTTCATAATGGAAGAAATAAACAAATAACTAAGCAAATACACAACAGAGCAAAAGTTGATACAGGCATGCGTACTTGCCTGTAAAACTTTGTCTGAAGGAAACGTTTAAGATATGAGACATAAAATACACTTGGGTTTTAAGTATTTATTTACAAAGTTCTTAGTAGTACAACTGCTTTAAAATACAGCAAAAAACAGTTATTTGCTTTTCGATCTGAAGTGGTTCATCCATGGCACAGAAAAAAATCTGTAGTCAGTTAAACGATTAAAGCAGGTAAATGAAAAGTGTTAAGTGACAATTAAACATTCTCAGTACTCCCCAGACAGGCAGGAAATACAAATGCACTTATTCACAGGAACTTGATTATTCGGTACTACTGACTATAAAAAAAAAAAAAAAAAAGACTTGTGAAAGATAACATGAGGCTTTGAAAAACATTTCAAAATGGCAACTACATTTTCAATTTTACATCAATTGTAAGACCAAAATAAAAAGTTGACCATATGCATACCTATGCATTTTGCAGCAGATCAGTAAAACCAATGGCAACTTTAGAAGTATTTCATAAAGGATATAAACAATCTTTCCCACAATTTTCCCATGGTCTTATCATTCAAAATAAAATTCTGCACAGTATAAAACTAGCCCAAGACCTGCTAGTAGCTATCATCACCATACAAACAATGTCTCTGAAGTAGCTAAAGTATATGCCAGTGTCTTGCTTTTACAAAATATACATTGTTATTTTTATTGATAAGGGCAACATTTTCAAATTCACATGCTAGGTCTTGAAAACAGACTGCAACAGGAGCAGTTCAATACTTCAAACAGCACAAGTGAAATAAGACTCCACTATTTAATCAAGAATCTATGCAGGTTTTTGTCTAGTGAGTACTGCAATATTTCATCTCTGCACAAAATAAGACACACAAATCTCTATTTCCATAAATTCATCCAGGGACACTATACAAACGGGTTCACAGCAGGATCTGGTACCCACCAATGAAATTTACTTACTGAATAAAGGTTGCAAAGCTACTGATATCATGAATAACTTAAATTATTGGTTTTGGAGTGAGGGATTCAGGCAAAGAGATAAATTACATCAAAATCAATAAAATTTTTACATGCATTAACTACAAACGTGTAAGAAAAATCTTACTCTTTCAAGAAGAAAATCAAATGGCATAGTTTAGTGTTACCTATCTTCTTTCCAGCTTTCACCAAGTGCTAATTACAAGTACCATTTAAGTCAGTTTCTTATTTGAGTATGAGGTGTTTATACATTACTACAGCTTAAGATTTTTAATGTTCATATCAAATGAGTTGTAGATCTACTTAGAGTATGACTTCTTCTCTCAAAAAAGATTTTTAATGTTCATATCAAATGAGTTGTAGATCTACTTAGAGTATGACTTCTTCTCTCAAAAAAGGAAGGAAGGCTGACAAGGGAGGGAGATGGAATACCCTGTAAAGAAAAGACAAATTTTTTTTAATTTTAATATTCTCTTTTAAAACTTGTAGCATAGAGTTCGATATCTTATGCATCATTTTTTTTTCACATTTTATAAATTATCATAACAATTCACTAGAAGACACCTTTCTAACTCTTTAAGAACTCAAAATTAGAGAGTGGGATGAGAAGAAAACATAATTGAAACTATTTTAAAATTCTGAAAACAAAAACCAAATGAATAGACTATTAACTAGATATTAAGTCTGTTGGAACAGACATTGGCTTACTGCTAATAGTGATACCTAGCTTTCTATTGTGCAATATTACTGATTCAGTGTTTCAGGTTGAAAAAGAAAAAAACATAAATTAACAAATAAAGCTTTAAGGTAAGAAGACAAACCCAAGTGGTTTCTTCTTTACTCATAAAGCAGAATTAAGAGAAGTGAAATAATTTTGTGGGATATAATTTTCTAAATTTAAATCAGACCCTCTGGGGCCAGCAGGTGGCATAATGGTTAAGGCACCAACATGTGGTTGACTGGGGTTGAGTCCAGGCTAGTGGCTTGAAACTCACACCAGGTATATATGTATGCATGCCTAATATCCTGAGAGAAAGGAATAATGAGGTGTGGCCATCTCCCCCTCTCCCCTGGGGGTGACTTCTCACTTTCTGTCTCTATTTCTAGCAAAAATTTCTCTCTCAAAAGAAAAAGTCAGACCATCTCAAAAACTGTACTACATGTGTAGCTCATATGTGCATGTGTTGGATCATTCTGCTCCATATAAAAACTGAGCAAAAGAGCAGTCCCCTTCAATGAGTGATTATTAAATTGCTAAGCTGTCTAACTTTATTGTTACAGAGCTCAAAGTTGACTATCACAGAATTATTCATTTTAACAAGGAAACATGCACAAAAATACAAATACCCAATAGTGGATGTGAATCAAAATAAAATTTGAGGCTACCTTTTTTAGTGTATATACGTGACTAAACTTAAAGCCAAGCTGGTAGCTCAGGCTTGCCCTCATCGGCAGGCAGTAACAGAACACGCTAAGAGCTGGACGGGTAACGCACTGATGTTTAAGTGATAATGAAACAAGGATTGAACTCAGCAGTGCAAAAGTTGGTATTTCCCTCAAGTGGAACTTCAATGGTCTGTCATATTAAAAGCATAAATTGTATACAAATACCACCAATCTAAGACTGAGAATCAGATTTGGAGTGTAAATCCACTGTTAATGAAAATCATTACAATTCCTCAAAATAATTACTTTCCTAAAAAAAAAAACTTAGATAGGAACTTCTTTTGGGAGGGCTTGAGAAAAAGTTACCTCGCAAAAAATATTTTTAGGTGCCAATATATAAGAAAACTCAATTAACCCTGAATTGTTGTGAATTCAAAATAAATATAAAGTCATGGATTTAAAAGTCCCCACCCACCCGGGAAGTGATTTAGTGGAGAAAGAATACTTCAGGTTTTTTCACGAATACACATTTCAAATAGCTAGTAAGCTCACATTAAACTTCACGAGGCTTGTTTCCATTACTGCTTGGCATTATCTCCTAATTCTTCACAAATGTCAAAGATGACTTGAAAAGAACGTTTTTTGAAATTTGAAAAACCAGTATTTCCTTCTAGTATCTCTGAGAAACTAGCTCGGGAGGCAGAATGGCGCACAGATCGACACCAGGAGTACTGAGCGCGCCCAGCGGCAGAGCCTGCGCGCTGCACACAAGCATGCTTAGAGAGTCCAAGGATATTGCTTGTGGAGAGAGAATGGGTCATCTGTCAGACAGAAACAAGCAATTGAGGAGAGGACATGAACGTCTTCAATAAGTATCATCGGTACTTATGTCTATAGTAAAGTAATACAACCATAAATATCATCTTCTGAAAACGCTCTATAAAATCCATTTACTCCCCTTTGAAGGTCAGGAAGGTGTGCAGGAGTTACTACTGACGCAGAAATGCTTATCTGCATTCTATTTGTCCATTTTAATTTGCATATATTTATATTATTAACGTAGTATAGCTTATCTCCAATTTGTTAAGGTTAACTGTAATCAAAAATCTGTTTATGCATATCCATAGACTCGCCCAGAACTCTGACTGCAAAGCTGAGCGTCTCCCTCCCTGTAAGATCAGTATGTCACAAGCCTCCCGCCCCAGTCCCTCCAGTAGCTCAGACTACTCCAGGCAGTCCCCAGCACCCGGCTTTCTGGCACGGGCTGTGAAGTCAAACCTGGGCCCCCAGGTGACTTGGCCTGCTGAGTCAATTTTACATAGTAAAATAAAAACCTATATAACACTAGAACATTCACATATACATATATACACATTGTGTGTGTGTTTGTGTGTGTATTTACATACATATAATTCTTACAACTCCCTTAGACTCATTTTATAGACAGCAAACTAAGTCAGGGAGTTCTCTATTAACTTGCCAAGTCTTACAAAGCTAGTAATGGCAAAACAAGGAGTTCAACACTTGGGTTCCAGAGTTCATGCTTTTAACCACGACCCAAACTACTTTCAGTATACACCCACTCAGTACATAACTATAAAGACTAAACGTACATACATGTTAAAAAAAAACTACGCATGCACCTGTGCATACATATCAAAATTTTACACACACATTGCAAATACAGTTTAGTCTTTACAATAGAGTAAGTAATATCAACCCCTTGTCTATCACCTACAAAAATGAAAATAAAAAAGAAAAAGAAACTTGCTAAAGGACGTACAACCAAGAAGTGAGTCACTTGATTTTCTTAGCCTAAATAGGTTAGGTCAATAATTCTACAAAGAAAAAAATACATAACTCATACACTTATTGGCAGTCATATATGTTGGAGTGCCCTTAATATTAATCATACGTGTAGTAATCCTAACACTGCTAGAAATTTAGATTGGTCACGGAACATCGAAAGATATGTGGAGCACATATTACCCTTTGAAATTCAGTCTCAGAGATTATACTCTACTCATCACAGAAATAGTAAAAGGAAGGAAACTCAGTCTCTGCTACATCCCCGAAACTAATCTTACATACAGAACCACAACTACTTACATTTGTAAAGTGATAAGCCAGGCTGAGACGAGTTTCTCAGAGACTTTAGAATATATTTTAATATCAATAAAATTTCATGTCAAATAAACTACACATAAAAGTATACCCCTAGTTCATTAATAATTAAGTTTTCTCATTTGCCTTTATCCCAGAAAGTTAGAAATTTAAAGATAAATAGAAAAAAAAGATAAAAGACATTATCTCCATTTTTAAAATGTTAACAAATTCTGTATCAACTCCGTAAATATGAATAAGCCATTTAGCTTGTTAAATCCAAACCACTTACTGCTAACGAAGACGTGCTGGACAGACGACTCACTGCAGGCTTATCACTGCCGGGAGGACTTCGTCCCTCCACCGAGCTATGTGATGACATGAGAGCCCTTCGCAGAGCTCTTTTTGGAGTTTTGGAGAACGAGAATGCTCTTGTAACCTAGAGTTAAAAAGAGTTACAATTAGTGAAGAATAGAGAAATTTAATATAGCTGCTAAGATATTTACGCATGGAGAAGTCAAGTACACATCAGAAGCTTTTCTACAAACAGAAGGTGGCAGAATTAGAATGGTTTTGACACAAAGCACCGAGGAGAACAGTACACTGTGGACTGCTCATCTGCACTCCGAGAGCGCTGCAGTGCAGTGGGGGAAGGTGGGAGGGAGCAAACCCAACCTGGGAGAGAGCTCTGGGCTCTTACTGGACTCTGCCAAGGTCTAGGTTTGAGATCAGTAATTCAAGCACGCGAACCTCCATCTCGTTACTAACAGAGTGAAGGAGCATCTGAGTCATCGTTTAACATGACATATCTGCTCTCTATGTGTATATCATACATGTTACATGATGGGAGATATAAAGCTGACTAAAGCACAAAGCCCCTCTCAATGTGTTAAAAAAAACAGTAAACTATATGGCTGAACACTCACAACACTAAATTCTAGTTCAACTTTTCAAAAGCTCTATTACCAACATATATAAGTAGTTTTCAACAAATGGGATAAAGGAAGTTATATTGATCACAAGAAACCTAATAGACTTCTAGAATTATGAATATATTCACAGGTCCCTTGACTCTCAGCCCTGTGCCCTTTGCTAAAAAATATCCAAGACAATATTTAAGATGAATGCACACATACTAGGTCTAAAACACCAAGGATCTATTCCTGCCTCGGTACAGTGCATAGAGGTGTCACTATAATAAGAATGGAAAGGATAACGTGTTATTGGAATTACTATGGCAAAAAGTCACTAAGTTAAAATTACTATCTCTGTGGGCCATTTCCTAGAACCAGAAGACAGTTTTGTTGTATAAACTGTCACATGGTCATTCCTTAGTAACCATGGAAGATTGTTCTAGGATCCCCCAAGATGGCAAGATCCATGGGTGTTCAAGTCCCTTACCTGAAATGATGGGGCATTTGCATATAACCTGCACACATCTTCCCAACACTGCAATCATCTCTAGATTATTTAACTCTACTACAACATAAGTGCTAGGTAGTCAGTCACTATCCTAGGGAACAATGACAAGAAAAGGTGTGTCCAAGCTCAGGATGTACAGAGCCAGTAACTGTAACCCTAAGGACACAAACTTAGCAACATAACCTTTCTGGTTCTCAGCTGGGTGAATCCGCAGATATAGAACACACAGTGATAGAGGACTGTCCGATATTAGTGTTTATTACAATATTATTTTAAGAGTCTGAAAATGACATTTGAGAAATATGCCAAATAATAATCTCACTAAAACTCACCTTTTTGGAAGTCTTTTTTATTGCCCTAGATGCTCTGCTCAACGTACTGTCCATATCTTTCGTATTTACTTCAAAGGATTCTGGATCGGCAGTGTAAATAAGATTCTCCTGTTGAAAGTTAATATGTCTTTATTATTTTAAAATTAATAAAACTAGTTTTCGGGCCAGCAGGGCACTGGACTCCCACACAGCCTACTGCAGCTAGAGTCCCAGACCTGGTGGCCTGCTTTCTCACTCCCCTCACCCCTGACTCTCTCTCTCTCTCTCTCTCTCTCCAGTGAGCATACACGCCCTATCGCAAATAATAATAATAATAAATTACAATTTAAAAATACAGTTTCTAAAATCAAACCTTTAAGTACATACATATAGAAGTATTTATAAAGTTACTCAAGATTTTGATCTGAGTGACATAATTTCTACTCTGAAATATACTTCTCCTCCATTCTCCTCTCAGGATCTTGGGCATGCACATGCGCCTGGCATGAGTTTAAGCTACCGGGTCTGGGAATCGAACTACGGTCAATTAGATGGGAGTCCAGTGACATAGCCATTACGCTAACTGCTGGTCCCTAAAGAAAGTGAGATGGACTCAATGCCACAATCCTCCAGCCACCATAGGTTTTTGCCATAGGGCAGGCACCACCACGCCCCCTGAAATATATTAATTTAACGAAAGTAGAAAATAATTATTCAGTAAATGTGTAATTCCTTGCAAGGACCATGGATATTAAAACTACTGGAAATAGACCTCAACATAAACGCTAACAAACCGAAAACTAACAAGTTAGAAATTTAGCATACTTAATGTTTAAGTATAAAGTCTGCTACAAAACTAGTATCACAGGACGCTCTCCTCAAGCTATCCCCGAATTAAGATTCAGACTTTCTCCTATTTTTTTCTTTCTCAATTAGCATCTGGAAGGAACTAAAACAGAAGTTCTGAACCTGTGATAAAGATCCCCTAGAGTGACAAGAATATCTTAGGCACGCCCGCACGCATGCCTGGTGTGATTTTCAAGCCACTAGGTCTGGGACTCGAATCGTAGCTGACTATGTGAGAGTCCAGCAACGTAACCGCTACACCATCTGCTGGTCCTCTGATCACTGTAACTTTATTTTGGAAGTCCTGTTTCCTAAAATGTCTACTATCAAGTGTTTCCTCCCTTAGCCTGTGCCTCAGACATGGCCTCAAATTCTTTTAACTGTTTACAGCCGAGACCTTCTGACTTGGCCAAATTAAAGTCGTTTCAATTATAGGCATTTATATTAACTAATAACTAGCTGAGTAGTTACTATTTTAAATATAAATCATACTAACTTCAGTATACGTATTAGCGGTTCACAAGCACAAACTCTTTCATTTATGTTATCGTCCATCTGGTCCTCATGTAGATAGAAATTCTACTAACAAGTTAAAAACCTAGAATGGATATTACTATATGTAAGGGGTCGGTTGTGCTTGGACCCACAGGTAAGATGAGTTTGATTTTGGAAAAAAAAATAGAGTGACCAACCCAACTGCTGAACTATAGGGCATTTAATAATCATGTTTCACTTAAACTAACCAAGTTGTGAAAGAGAGCAACATCGCCTAAACTGATTTGCTAGTAAATTATCCTTTCGTGGAGCAGCAGATGGCATAGCAGCAGATGGCGTAGCAGCTATATCTCTGGACTCCTACACGGGGACCGCAGTTTGAGGCCCGGACCTGGTGGCCTGAAAATCATGCCAGGTGCATGTATGTGTGTGCCCAAGATCCCGGGAAGATGGAGAAGGCACTGCAGTGTGGCAGTGCACAGATCACCCTGGGGGCAATTTCTCACTTTCCCTCTCACTGCGTTTCGTCTCTCTCTGTGGTGGAGTACAAGTGCCCAATGGCAAAAATCTCTAACAAACAAACAAAATGATCTTTTTGCTATTAGAGGTCTGAAATTTTGAACAGGATCAACAAAGCATCAGGTGATATATGAACCTTAGAGGATGACTATGCAATTAAAGGCTTCATGTTGAGAAGAGACCAAAAACACTTATCTACATAATCTGAGATTTTCAGGTCAAGCTTTAGTCTTTAAATTCTGAAATAACAGAATATGGGATATCATATCTAAAGGGAGAAAAACTACCATGAGAGTTTGACCAAGTATAAGGATGTCTAGATTGTAATGGTAGTTTTATACTAATCAGTCATAATTCTTGGCCCTAGTATCACTTTAAAATAACATGGGATTAAGTTTTCTTTCAGCCAGGAAATTTTAATGCTCAAGTTACCCACAAATAGACATGATGAATAAAATAGTATAGAATAAAATAGTTGTATTTATTTTATTCTTTTAATTAAGCAAATTCGAATTACTTAGGGCATCAAGAAATATACAACAGGAAGACAAAAACTGCTGATTCAAAGAATCGGATTTTTTATATTTTTTACATCTTTGTAAATAAACATTTAGACACATAAGAAACTGACACAGGACTTCTTAAAAATTTACTGTGTGGAATTTTAAGTGTGGGAAAGGCTTCACCTGAAGTCACTGAATATCTGAATTACAAACATTTCCTAAGAGCAACATTTCAGCAGATGGGGAGAATTCTGCGGCATAAAACAGTACAACTCAGAACATAGTTAAATGTTTGCTGCCATCTTGTGGCTAATTTTACTTCATAACATTTTTCAATTGTTGTTTATATTTTAGTTCTGGTATCATTAGCCATTTTTACCCAGTAATTCAGTAGACTATATTTTAAGAAAATTGTTCCATTAAATTTTACTTTGCAGTATTAGCATTACAAGTTCAGAATGGACTTACATAAGCCATCCAGTCTACATATATATATATAGACTAAGAGAGAGAGAGTAACTTCTACAATAAGTCACGGTACTGTAAACAAGCCCACTTTAGATATGGATAACACGAAAACTATCAAAAAAGTCCCTCCTTATAAGGAGTCTACATCTGTCTATCATGTGTTTCTTCCATGTATGGAGATGAAGAAATCAAATGATCTCTTAGGGATCTATGTGTCATCCAAGATCTTCTACAGGCCACCTGATTACTGGCAAGTCTTTTAGCTTCACTATCTTGATTTTTTTCATTTATCTATATACTTTAATCTAAATGATATGAAGGTAATTATAAATTCGTAATGGCATTTGATCTTAAGAGGCTGGTGTGAGAAAAACTGACTGGCTTCCCTGATAGAAAAAGCAACATGTTACAATTCATCTATTGTGATAAAACAAACACACACACACAAAATACTCTTTGTTTTACTAATAGCTATGTCTCATAGCACCAGTGAAAGTTACAGGCTTCATTATAGTAAGTCCCAGATGCCTAACTAAATCAGAGCCATAGACGCCACAGGGCTACGAGGGACGATCTGTAAGCCAGAAACTCAAATGTTTCATGTGTCTGAACTTTTAAGTCTTTCCTAATCAATGTATTAAACTCATTTTCCTAAATAAATTCAAAACTAAAGCTCTCCTATACTCATAAACAGTATGTCACTAGAAAAGTGCAGGCTTAGTCTCAATGCATCGCCACTGAGCTTAAATGTCCCTGTAGCACTGGTGTTAAGAACTTACAGCATCTGCCTTGCAAATGGTGTTGGCTACGTGTCGACACAGCATCTTCAGCCAGCTTTCTTTTGGAAGTTCATCTGACGTCATCTGGAAACTCAGCAGCACATTTGTCTGCTCTGTTGGTGGCCGCACAAGTAAGGCAAAGGCATTATGGCAATCTAGGGTTCCAGAAGAATCACAGACATTAGGTGTTACTCCTTGGAAAATGGCGGCATCATGCAGGGTTAGTTCCCTCACAGCATGGAAATTCCATCGGACTAAATGAGATCTTCTCTGCCCTTCCCATCCTATTTTTAATCAAAGAACCTCACTATAGTAAGGTGAAGCATTTGAAAGAAAGAGTAAGAGTATACCAAGGGAGAAACCAATGATAACTTTATGACATGAAGTAGGCCATGTGTTTCATGATGGCTAATATTTTCTACGATGAAATTTAAGTTAAAAAAAAATCAATTATGGAATTTGCAGATGGTGTAATGGTTACACTGCTGGACTCATGTAGTTGACCACGGTTTGAGTCTCAGACCCAGCAGCTTAAAACTCACACCAGGCGTACATGTGTACATGCCCGAAATCCCAAGAGGAGAACGGAGGATTGCAGCATGGCTTTCCCCTGGGGTGTGTGTGTGTGTGTGTGTGTGTGTGTGTGTGTGTGTGTGTGAGATTTCTCTCTTTCTGTCTCTCTGTCGAGCGCACGCACCCTATAGCAAAAACCTCTCTACCAAAAAAAAAAATTATATCACTTCTTAGAATTCTTTAAGTTTTAAATAAAAATAACACGAACATAAGGATTCAATAACTCAACCTAATTAAATTACATTCAAAAAATAAAATGTCCAAATATTAAATTACAAAATATTCTGTGATCAATATGCTAAAACCAAAAACTATTTTCAACAATAAAGTCTTCCATAATTAGAAGTTTAAAAAGGAGGACCAGCAGATGGCATAAAGGCTCCATCACTGGACTTCGATGTAGCTGACTGCAGTTTGAGTCCCTGACCGGGTGGCTTAACCTCAAGCTGGGAGCGTGTGCAATGCGTGCCCAAGATCCCAAGAGGAGAATGGAGAAAAAGGGATTGCAGTGTGGCCATCCCCCACTGGGGGGTGATTTCTCGCTTTCTGTCTCTGTCTCTCTCTGGCAAGCACACGCACTCTATAGCAAAAACACTTCTCCGGAAAAAAAAGTTTAAAAAGGACATGATTTAAATGAAAGTACTAGCCCTTACTACTTCAGAATTTGACAACTGGGTGAGAACAGCAATGTAAGCTGCTGTTCAAGTTCTCTTTAAGAATCAGTTCTTATGAACGCAAACATTTTATCTTGAAGGAAACTAGTGATGGAAAGAGCTTACATATTGGGTTGTCAGAAAAGTAGTAATGCATTTTGCATATAAAAGTACGTCATGACTGTTCGGATGACCCAATATGTAAAACATACGGCATCCCAAGTATGGCCATGTGCACATCACTAGATGCCAGCTAAACCGATGACACTGTTTTACGTAGGTATAAATTTCTGGCAATTTCAAGCCTTTAGAGAAGGCTCACCCAACACTACTGAAGTTGAGGGTAAAAGCTCTCTTTAATACACATCTGACCCCACATCAAGTTGACCAGTTACCCGAGTACATTTTTCCACATCTGTTCCTGACCCATGTCCTAAATATATCCCTAAAAGCGTGTCACTGACAACAGGGAAAGTACTAAGATATCCTGTGCAAGTAACAGACGGGTGACTTCATTTGGATTATGAACAAGTAAGTTTTAATGTGGGAATAAAGTAGGCTTGTTTTACTTTTCAACTGGCACATAGTAACTACATTTACGGACTACACCATGTGATGTTTCAACACACAAATGCAAACCACCATTTATCACCATTTATCATTAGTTTGTGTTGAGAGGATTCAAAATGCTTTCAGCTATTCTGAAATACAAGACTACTGTCTACTACAGTCAGTCTACTGTGTTATAGAACACCAGCATTTACTCCTCGTATCTAACTGTAATTGGTATCTATTAACCAATATCTCTATCCTTTCTCCTCACCTTCCCTGTGTCTTTAGTGTCCACTATTCTACTCTCTACTCTTTGATACCAACTTTTTTCGTTTCCAGTGAAACGTGATTTTTCTCTTTATGTGCCTGACTTATTTTACTTAACATAGTGTCCTCCGAGATTATCCATGCTGCCTTGAATGACAGGATTCCATTCTTTTTAATAGCTGGACACCACTTCATTGATATATGCACACCACATGATCCAGTCATCTGTAGATGGACATTTAGGTTGACTCCATGTCTTGTCCACCGTGAGTTATGTTGTAATAAACAACTACCATGCAGATATCTCTATGACATACTGATTTCCTTTCCTTTGGAAATAGTCATGCTCCAAATAACGATGTTTCAGTCAGTGAAGGAGGACAGACACAACAGTGATATAAGATCATATTACATATTACACAGCTGGGTTCTACCAGGCTATGCCATGCAAGTTTACGTAAGTATGCTTATGATACAAACACAACAACAAAATTGCCTAATGATACATTTCTCAGAACACATCCCATTTTTAAGTGACATGTGACTAAGTGCCTACTAGAAGGATTGCTATTTTAGTTACTGAGGAATCACCATGTAGTATTCCATAACAGCTGTACTAATTTACATTAGACACTATTTTCATGCATAACCACTGAAAAGCTCTTTGCTCCTTAGGAAGGCTAAGGATATCCTATAAGTTGACATAACACCTCCATTTGAAAAAAATAACTTAAGTTTATTCCTAAAGATGGAGTTAGAAAAGAGGTTAAAAGAACAATTACCAGACTGATCAACTATACTGATACACGATTTACGGTTTTTGAAAAGTAAGGTACAAATCAAACCTAAAATGAACATAAACTATTTTTATTTACCCAGTAGTTTATCCAGTGAACATTACCTTCTGTCTCTCTTATGTCCAGTACTTTCTTAATCTGAGAAAGGGGCATTAGATGAATATGCTTAAGAGAAGCTGGGGGTCGGGTCTGACCATGAGGACTTCTAAAAGTGCCAATAACCTTGTGCCGTTTTCTTGCTATCTGATTACAAAAAAATTTTAAAAATCATGATCAGTAATAAAGACAATTAAAAAGCAAACACTTCAAATAGCACTAGTCACACAAATATCTACGTGAAACTTATTCGATTATTAGTCACTCCAGAGTTATTATGTGATAAGAAACAGTTATTACGTGACAAAATAATACTTATCATTTGTGTAGCAGATACTCACGTCTATATAACTAGAGCTCAGAAGTCAGGGTAACAGCCCATGAGGCAGAGTGTATGCAAAAAGACCTAGTCTGTGAAGGACCAGAGATGCTGCGAGCAGCAGGGTCAGGAATGTGCTTTAAGAGGCCCTGACTTCAAGAGAAAGGGATCAGTTGTTAAGGGTGCTCTGTTGGGGTACAAAAGATAACGGTTTCAGAATTTATAATAATTTACATCTTGAGCAAGGCACTGACAAAGAGTTCCCACTCATATATTTATATACTAACGAGAAAGGGAAATATTAAAGAAGTAATTGAATAAAACGTTAAACAAATGATACAAATCATAAACTCAAGGTGCTGTGTTAGGATATAACCTTACCTAAACTGGGAATTCATGCAAAAGGAAGAGATAGGTAACACTGAAGACAGGAACAAAATCAAAAAAGCCTTCGTGATTCATAATATACTAAGGTTCTGGGATTTTTATGAAGTCCATATTTTTTTCACGTCCATGAAAACCTAATGTTTTGGCTTATTTATTTAAATGCCAGAAAGGACGTGTGCTCACCAGAAACAGAGAGACAAAGATAGCAGCGGCAGTAGGGGGATGAACCCTAATGGGGAGTGGTCAGACCGCAATTTGTCCATCCTGCAGGATCTGGGGCAAGCATTCACCGGCCATAATCTCCCAGTTGCTAGAGCCAGGATTTAAAACTACAGTCGACCATGTGGGATCTGGTTCCCTTAACCACTAGCCCATAGGGCTGGCCCTATTTTGCCTTTTTTAAAGAATTTGTGTTTTGCAGTAATAATTATCAAATGAAAGTTATTAATATAAAATGATTTCAGATTAAGATACTTAAGAATTTGAGATTGGTCATCATCCTGAATATGACAAAGTATGGCTAAAAACTGCACTGCTTTGAGCTGGCTAATGAAAGACCAAAAGTTACTCAGTCTCTCATGTTCACGTTGAAGCAGAAATGTGAAACACGTCCATGTTATACATCAAGTACATGTATCAAATATTAAAGTTAATTTACAATATTATAGTGAAAAGTAATAATCTAAAAGTATTTTCACTGTAATGCCTGAATACTCAGATTAATTTAAGATTTATTTCTAAAAGGAAAAGCAATGGCAAGTGTTAACTCTGAAGACATAAATGGTAGTACATCAAGGTTAAGGAAAAAACCCTCAAAACAGATAAAATATTAAAAAGGAAAATATATGCCTAAATTGAGAACAGGTGAAGTTTGGGATTAACTGTCAGTAAAACATCATCTGTCATATTAGAGAAGACAATATATTTACTCATTTTGAATGCTTCCAGCTTCTAGCACAGTAAGAACGATGCTTGCTACAGGTTTCTGTCAGGTTAAAGAAGCACCCTGCATTTCATTCCAATTTGCTAAGAATTCTGTTAGCTTTTCTTAAACACAAGCTGAAGAATCAGACTTTATTTCGAATTATAATTTTTGAAGTCCAAATTTAATGTTAGAAGCAGTTTCCATTTAAGTGGTTCTGAGACAGGGAAATGAAAATAGGAAAAAAAACAAAAACAAAAACAAAAAAACCAACAACCACTGGCTGCAAAAGGAAAAGGAGATGGGAGACCAGGGCCTTGGGAGGTCTAGGGAGTAACCAATGGCAGGGACTCCAGTGAGAGAGGTCAATGAGCCGATCACAGAAGACTGCAAGGAGTCTGGAGGGGTACTCTGACATGAATACGACAAGGTCAGATCGTACTGGCGGGCCAGTCACTGGCATGGTGGTTAAGGCGGCTGGACCCCACACAACCAACTCATGGTTTGAGTCCCAGACCCGGCGGCTTAAAAAAGCATGCTGGGACTAGACACATGTATGTGTGTGCCCAAAATCCCAAGAGGAGAATGGAGAAGGGACTGCAGTATGCCCTTCCTCCTGGCAAGGGGGTTTGAGGCTTTCTCTCATTCTCTCTCTTTCTCTACCCCTGTACCCCAGAAAGTGCTTGTGCACATGTACAACTTGAAAAAAAAAAGATTGGCAAGAAATACAACTTAACCTATCATTTTCATAGCGCAAGCTTGCCTACTGAATTCAACAACAAAACACCCAACCAACCTAAAAAAGAGTTAAAAGAAACAAACAAATAGGAATACAGAGAAACTATGCATCGTAAAACCTCATGTTAATGCAAATTCAGATAAAATATAATTGAATACGGACTCTTTGCCTAGCTCTGTTCTCAAAAGTGGAGCAAGCTAAAGCTCTTTGTAAAAAGTAGGGAGACAGGTGGTTCGGATTGATCTGCCTCGTGATTTGTATGACTTTTTCGCCCTTGAGATACAGGCAAATGTGTATGACATTTTTTACTGTCTTTACTTTCATGCATTTGTAACATTAATGACCAAATGAAAATATCTTTCATTATATTCAACGAAACTCTATCTACATTTAACACGTGGATTTTGGTGAGTTTTCACTGTATCAGTAACTGCTCTGCCTATGGCTTGTCTTTCAAGATTCTTTTATATTTTACACTTTAGATAGTAATGAATGTTCATGATATAAGAGGGCCGCACTTCAAGAGAAGTGAAGTAGAAAAGGATAAAAGAAAGAGGTATAGACTTTAAAGAAAATGGAAACCTATAAGTCACTTTGAAGGCAACAGAAAGCTACCAACGAACAGAAATGTCAAATGAGTCTTCTTGTTAATGTCTGTTTTATCAAAATGAACATTTTTTTTCCTTCTAAGATGAAGGAAAATGCACTCTATTTTTATCCCTCAGTAGTTTGTTTAGTTGTCTAAAAATACATACTAAAAGCATTAAAGATAAGAGTTGAAAAAGCACACAAGCAGTTCATTCGCCCATAGGAAAAGAGGGGAAGGACAAACTTGAGCTGCACAATTACCTACTGACCACTCACATTCACACTCAAACCTGCTCATCAAGGAAGAGTCACGGCGTCATAGGAACTCATGATATTAAAATATCATATCTCCCTCTTAGATAAAATATTAACTTCATATATGCTAGAAAAACCTACCTAAACTTCAAAAAGAACAACTTACAGTTATCTTGTAAAACTCGAATAAACATACAAACAAGGTCCCAAAATTCTCGACCGAAATATTTATTCGTACGAAAATAAGTTAAATTTTCATCTTGACTTAGATTTTAAATTTATCATACTTCTTAAAATTAGATCTTCTCTTAAAAACATGCCATTGTTAGTACTATATCAACATCCAGTTTCAATTTAACAAAGCGATTACGTTAGGTTACTTCAAACTACTACATTATACTTCAATCAAAGTTTTAGTTTTAAATATTCAAGAAAATCCCCAAATCAAAGATATTATTAGATTAACACATCTTTACCTCCAGGCAGTCATTGAAGAGGAAGAGAGTTACTTGTTCTCCTCTGTCACAGGGGTGCTCACCTAGAGAAATTGTTTCAACTCGTTGTACTAAACTTCGGTGTGAAGATAAAAGATTAGCCTGTACAGATGGAAAATATGAATAAAAAGCACCTGTTATCCAAGTAATGTTTAAGAAATTGCAATTTAAAAGAAAGTGTTAGGAAGATTCCATCTACATTAAAACTACAGAAGCCTCATTAACAAGAAAGAGAAAGAATATTGACAATCATCCAAAAAGAATACTTACTGGGCATCCATCTACTTCGTAAACAACATCAAAAATTTGCTTCTGAGCTTCTGTTTTTCTCTTATCCTCATTAATATGCCTGGAAAATTAATAAGATCATTTTTAAAGCTTCTTTTAAAATAGAACATGAAAACTGCACAGAAATACATCTCCTGATACAAAAACTCATCTCATGTGAATCCAGCTTAATTCTGATAAGTCAGTGAAAATGTTCCTTAAACGTATCCCACTACATTAAACACATTCTGGAACACGAAATAGTCTATTTCCCCCTTTGGCAGCAGAAACATGAAACAGCTCGAAATACGGGAAAGCTCAAAGTGCACGTAGGACTTCACTGGCCTCTTGTCTTATAAACATCTCCCCTTGTTTAACTACCTGAGCTCAGAGAGCCCGTGCGGCTCCCCCAGCCCGGGCAGCCTTACACTTCAGCAGAAGTCTCTCTTCAAAGCATTTAAAACACTTTGTAGTAATTTTACGTTTTCTGCCTATGTAAGTTCCTGCTTTCCCTCATGTCCCTGGAGTACTTTTTTGGATCTAACTGAACATATGTTTCCCAAACTGCAATTTCTAAGACTTCAAATAAAGTTTTATGTTTTTTATGAAAAAAGATAAAATTCTTCACAATCCTTTAGAAAAGTATGTTTTGCTATTATACTCTTTACTGTGCACTTTCTAAAATGCATTAAACCTGTACAAACTTCAGGTTAACAAACAAAATTTTAAGTTCTAAATATAAGGCCAGCTAAGGTTTACACGTGTCTTTCTCAAGTCATGTACTAATCATTCCCATGAAACAAAAACCCAGGACTCTGCATAAGACGGAGTAAGAGGGAACAGACTTCTGTCTGAAACAACTAAAAAACCAGTGAAAAGGATAAAGAAATGAGAGTCCAAGACCCTGAACGCAATTTCTGTGAGAGAAGAAAGAGACAAGGGGCCTAGCACAACAGAGCGGTCATCTCGCTGGACTCCCACGTGTGTGATTTGAGTCCTGAACGTGGCGGCACCAAATCATGGGTGAGTGTGCCCATGATCCCGGAGAATGGAGGAGGAGGGACAGCAGTGTGGCCACCCCTGGGAGGAATGTCTTGGTTTCCCTCTCACCGTCTCTGTCTCTCTCTCTCTCTCTCTGGCAAGTTCACGTCCCCTAAGGCAAAAACCTCTTAAAAACAAAAGAAGGCCCTACCACTGCCTGTAGCTGACAGAGGTTTCCTGAGCTACACGCAGAGAACACCCTGGATCTGGGAAGGCTTCCCTGTGTGCAGCTGCGCTCTGACTGGCCCAGCTGTGAGGAACTACCAGAGGTTAAGGGAAGAGACACAAAAGGTTAAGGGGTAACAGTGCCCAGAGTTGATGCGACGTGAAACAAAGACATCACCGGAGTGGAGAATCTGGACTATGTGACAGCAAGGTACAGAACTGGGAAAGGACTTGCCTCAATGATGGGGAATGAACTCCAGGCTAAATGTAAATCTACTGACTAAGGAAGTTTTAGAACAAGACATGGGAAGATCAAACTGTGTACAAGTAACTTAACCATATTCCAGAAAAAAGCTCCAAAGTATTTACAGAAACACAAAAATACCTAGCACTCTGCAAAGTAAAATTAACAATATCTGGAATCCAATAAAACAATACTAGGCATGCAAAGAAGCAGGAAAATGCAGCTTATACAAAGAAAAAACTTAAAACTGACACAGAAGACATAATTAATGAACAATTTTAAATTATACTCATTTCACAGGTTCAAATGATTACAGAAAAATTCAACACTCTAAGCAGAGACATGGAAGATACCTAGCTATATATTTATTTTTAATCGTTTGCCTTATTCTATTTATTATTGTTGTTATTATTTTAAATTTGCTATAGGGCACACGTGCTCACTGGAGAGATAACAGAGATGACAGAGAAAAAGTGAGAAAGCAAGCTGCCAGATCCGGGACTCAAACCGTGGTCAGCTGTGTGGTGAGTCTAGTGCCTTTGCCATCACACCACCAGCTGGTCCCTACGTGAAAGATACTTTTAAAAGACCCAAATAAGTTTTCTATAGATGGAAGCTGCAATGTCTTAGATGAGAAATACACTAGATTACACTAGATGAGAACAGCAGATTAGACACTGCAGGAATTAGTGAAACTAGAGAGAGCAATAGAAACTATCCACAATTAGAGATCAGCAAATGGCGTAATGGTTGCGTCACTGGACTCCCACGTAGTCGACCACAGTTGGAGCCCTAGACCCAGGGACTTAAAACTCACTCCAGGCATGTGAGCGTCTGTGTAAATAGAACAACTAAACCTAATAGAAGCAGAGCAAAGAAAATACGAGATACGAAGGAAGTTAACAAAAAAGAAAAGAACAAAAGCACTAGAGGAAAAAGAATCAACAAAACTGACAAACCTGCAACTAGATGACCAAGAAAAAAAACAGAAGACACAAGTTACTCAAGCCAGGAATAAAGCATGGCCCCACCTTACAGTATCAGAAAAGATGATAGAACACTGAATAAGTATGTGACAAAAAACTAGGTTACTTATGTAAAGGACAAATTCCTAGATAGTTACAAACTTTAGAAACCAAGTCATAAAGATGTAGAAAATATGAATAGATCTGTAACAACAGACTGTTAGTAATTTTAAAATTTTTTACAATAAAAACTCCAGGCTCAAATGACTTTGCTAATAAATTTCGCCAGACTGAAGAATTAAAATCAAATTCTTCCAAAAAATAGGAGGCAGTACTTCCCAATGTATTCTATGAACCAGGATTAGCTGTTACTAAAGCCAGACAACTATCATCGAAAGACCTATAGTCCAACACCATTTATGAATATAGATACAAATATCCTCAGCAAAATACTAAATAAGTCTTCAACATATATAAAAGGATTATATACCATAACCAAGTGGGATTTACCCTAAGAGTGTAGGGTTAAGTTAATATGCAAGAGTGAAATTAGGAGCAAGACAGGAAAATGTCCACTCTTAGGATTTCTATTTTACTGTAGCTTCTAGCCAAGGCAATCAGAATAAGAAAATGAAATAAAAATCATCTAAGTTGAAAAGAAAGAAGTAAAATGATCTGTATTTATAGATGACAAGATCCTAATGACAGACATTCCTAAGGAATTCACAATATTAGAATTAACAAGCTCAGCAAGGTGCAGGCCATAAGAGCAACGTATAAAATTAAATTGTATTTCTATGCACGAGCAGTGAACAATCCAAAAATGAACTATAATAGCAGAAAGAATAGTTAAGTTTAAGTTTATCAAAACAAAGGCAAAATGTATACACTGAAAATGACAAAACATGATTAAAAGTGACTAAAAAAAATGAAAACAAATGCTTACATATCAGAAGATTCATATTGGTAAAATAATGCTACTTTCCAAACTGATCTACATACTCAGTATTACCTGTGATTAGGAAAATGCCAATCAAAACTACAATGAGATACTACAAGGTCACAAATTAAAATGCCTGACCACAGAGTGTAGGGCAGGACATGGAGATGA